TCCGTGTCCAGCAACGGACCGCAACCCTCAGTGCTGCCCCCGTACCGGACCGGGGACCGGCAACGGGATCGCAAGCCTCGGTGTTGCTCCCGCGCCTCGCCCAGCCAGTGAGCGGGAACCGGTCTGCATATGGGATCCGAACCCTCGGACGGGAGCGCCGCCGCGCTTCCCAAGCGGCGCACTATCCAGTGCGCCACCGGGCCGGCCCTTGGGCTGAATCTTAAAATATAAGTATAATACTAACAGCTATTGGGGAAGAAGAAAGAGACAACACTCCAGGCACAGGAAAAAGTGTGAACTCATCTGCACTCTAATCGCATTTTTTCCTCCTTGTTAGTACTCAAATAACTTTATTATAATGTTCTGCTTTTATGTGGAGCTCCTTCTCTAGTAAATTAACTCTTAGTGGAGGGTGAGGGGTGAAAGAGTGCTCTATCTGCACTCATGGCTGGTAACCTGCTCAATACGTGGCACATGGTAAATACTCTAAGCATTTGTGTTGCATGATCAAAAATATGAATGAGAGAAGCAAAGGCATAAGACAAGGAGTTAAGAGCTCATGGAGAATGTAAGTGATGATAAATATATGGAATATAATACATAGGGTGGTGGGATGTAGAAGGTGGAGGGAAAGGGTAGAAAGAATACAATGAGTTTAGTTGAGGTATAAGGTCAGAACGGTTGGGAATATCTACAAAGTTTTTGCATCCAGGATTAAGTAGGTATAAAATATACTACACTTTGTCATGAAGTCTCACAAGAGTTCTATAAATTAGTCATTTCCCATGAGCAGAACTAATTCATCAAATGCTTATACAAAAAATACAAAGTCCCTCCTATGTGCCAGGCCCTGTGTTATCAATGCACAAACTGGGTGATTCATATGGCCTAATTCAGCCTCAAAGCTTTACAGCTATTTGAATTTGGCTTTAGGGTTAAATGATGAATCTTGGGTCTGCAGAGGCCCTAAAACTGTATGCAAAATGTTGTATGTACATGCATATATGGAATTACATGTGTATAGTCCTGAAAGAAAATATGATACACATTCCCTTCATAGGAAAGGTTAAAAATCACTACATAAGTAGTGTAAGGAAATGAAAGAGAGAACCAACCTAAGCTGTCACATCAAATTGAAGCAAGCATTTTAAAAATAAAGTCTGTTATACAGACCTTGGGCTAAATTCCCAACAACATGTACTATGCCAACAAGAAGGCCAAGCCTGGCACTTTTTCAGAAATGTTCTTTTCTGATGGCACTTTGTCAAAAAAAGCAAAGATCTTCCTATTTTCTGAGAGACATTTATAAACAATATTTGAACAATTCTGGTTAATTTCACACTAAAAATTAGAAGTGGAAGTAATATACAAATTTTAGTGGTCACAATGGGTATAAGGACAACCATATTTTTGCAAATTGATTTCTGTGATGATATCCATTCTGCTAAATAGCAGGTGGGAGTATTTCAGCAGCTGCCATAAATATAATATCCAAAATATACAATAAAGTGGTTCCTCCAATTCTGTGAGGAGGAGAAATTGCCTTTGCTCTTATAACTGTCTTCAGAAAATAAAATTTCAAATATCCAACTGAGGAAAAGAATTAATCCAGTAATATTAAAGTTAGGATGGACTGCTATATTTCAAAGTTCACGTCTCTAAATAAATCTAATAGTAATAGTAATCAAAACAACAACAACAACAGGATCACACTTACCTGTGTCTTTACTTCTGTGTATTTAGAGGTCTCTATGTGAATAAACAGGCTGTCTCCAATTTATACACATATTGTGTTCCAGAAGTTCTTTAATAAACCAGCTACTTGAAATTCAGTAAATTACTTACAAACCATGGTTTGCTTTCCAGGCTGGTTATAAATCCTGGCATATTCAACAAATATTTACTGAACATCAATTTAACTCACAGGGCTATTGAATTAGAGAACTGTGAATTCTGTTTCCTGAACTAAGAAAACCCTGCCACGCAGAAAAGATGAGAGAGGGAGAAACGGCATACAGAGGAGGAAAATCCAAATCTGCCCCATTCCTTCTGCAATTCTGAAATATAAATATTTGGTGTTCTGTCCCCTCTAATCTGTTTGCCTGAGACTCTGATTTCCCAATGCCTTCAATTCCACTGGTTTCCCTAAACTCACAGTTTAGGCCACAGCTCAGTATGTATCCAAACATTGCCCTGCCCTTCAAAGTGCCCTAAGCTCCAAAGTGAAGGCTGGACCACGCTCTCCGTATCAGTTCTGGAGAGTTCAGGTTTTGGAACCGCACAGAACTGGACTGAAATCCCAGACTCTCCCATTAGCAGCTAGATTGTTTTGAGTAAATTACATAAGATGATGTAAAAGTTTGGGTTCTTGACCCAAAATGCATAGGGTTGAATCTTGCCTCCTAGCTCTAAGGCCTTGGGAAAATCTCTCGACCACTCTATATCTCTGTTTCCTCAACTGTAAAACGGGGAAAAAGAGAGCCTACTTCATAAGGATGTTGAGAGAATTAAGTGAAATAAAGCATTTGGAACAATCCCTGTGCTGAATAAATATTATCTGCTACTGTGTACCCCTCTGAGCCTCCAGTTCCTAATCTGTTAAAAGATTCTATCTACCCTACAGAGTTGTGATGAATATTACACATGATAATGTGTAAAGTACTCAGTACACTGCCTCGTACTAGTAAAATGTAAAATGTGAATTTCTTCTTCTTTTCAATTCAGCAGCTTTCATCTTGCAGATAACAGGAAAGCAAATTTGCTGGAACTGATTATAATTAATCTTTTAACCCTCATAGACTTATTTGTATAACTAAAAGACACAATTCCAACCTTGTCAAGGTAGGAACCTCAGTTGTTAATGACTAAAAAGAACTGCTATAGGTAACTTGGGGGTCAAGATACCCGGGTGGATGCTTTGGGATGAATGTAGAAGGTAGAAAATAGAAAGCAATGTTAGTACTGCTATACAACTACAGGAGAGTGCAGCTACCAAGACTTTGATTTTGTTCCCAAGTTGGCAAAACTTTTCAGATCTGATTTCCTAGGGCCTTCTATCCACAGGTTTCTCTAAATCTCACAGTCCAGCCCCTACAAAATATTTATTCAAAGGTGACAGTCAATGATAGAGAATAAAATGCAGCATACCAATGATACATTTATTCTAGGAAAACCAGAATGAATACTTGACTAATGCCCTTCATCAGTTTTTGAGATAATGAACTGGTTTCCTATCATCATCAAAATGTAACTAGTTATGCCTCCAGCTTTATTTTTTTTACTCAGAATTGCTTTGGCTACTCATGGTCTTTTGTTATTCCATACAAATGTTAGGATAGTTTTTTCCATTTCAAAGAAAAATGTCATTGAAATTCTGATGGGGATTGCATTGAATCTGTAGATCACTTTGGGTAGTATGGACATTTTCACAATGTTAATTCTTCCAATCCAAGAGCATGGGATATCTTTCCATGTTCTTGTGTCCTCTTTTATTTCTCTCAACAGTGGTTTGTAGTTCTCATTACGGAGATTTTTCATATCCTTGGTTAACTTTACTCCTAAGTATTTTATTTTTTTTGGTGGCTATTGTAAATGGGCTAGCTTTCTTGATTTCTTTTTCTGCATGTTCACTGTTGGGGTATAGAAATGCTACTACTGATTTTTGTGTGTTGATTTTGTATCCTGCAACTTTGCTAAAATCATTTATCAACTCTAAGAGTTTTTTTGTAGAGGCTTTAGGCTGTTCTATATATAGGATCATGTCATCTGCAAACAGGGACAGTCTGACTTCATCTTTTCCAATCTGGATGCCCTTTATTTCCTTATCTTCTCTGATTGCAAAATGTGGTATATCTACACAATGGAATTCTACTCTGCTATAAAAAAGAATGAAATACTACCATTCGCAGCAACATGGATGGACTTAGAAAAAATTATATTAAGTGAAATAAGTCAGGCACAGAAAGAGAAATACCACATGTTCTCACTTATTTGTGGAAGCTAAAAATAAATAAATAAATACACAAACAAATGGGGGGCGTGGGGAAGAAGACAAAACAATCACAATTCCTTGAACTTGTTAAGACAAGTGAATAGATATGATGTTGATGGGTTGGAGTGGGGACTGGGAGGGGGGAGGAAGGAATGGTAAAGGGGCACAAAAAATCAACTACATTTATTGATAAATAAGTAAAATGTAGCTAGTTAAATTTTTTGAAATATTATTATGAACTTCTAAATTTAAACTTCACAGGATTCAAACCATTGCAAATACTATCTCTTTTGAAGTTCAAATTGTTCATCTTTGGCTCTTGTTTCATTAACAACTTAAACAGAGATGGAATTAAAATTTTTCCACTATGACTGTGAAATTGTCTATTTCTCCCTTGAGTTTTGTCAACTTTTGCTTCATGTATTTTGAAGCATTGTTATTAGGGACATTTACCTTTATTGTTTTTATGTCTTCCTGATGAAGTTACCCTTTTATTATTATGAAACATCCTCTTTATCACTGGTAATACTCATTGTCTTTAAGTCTACTTTGTCTGATTAGTATATCCATTCTAACCTTCTTATTTTATTCATAATTTGTTTTTAATATTTGAAATTTTTTCCCTTTCACTCTCTATTAGTCTTAAAGTATTATCGATTGTGATTTTTTTTTATTTGTTTTACTGTTATGTTTCTCAGTTTAGCTTCATTTCTGAAATGATTTATTTTCTAATTTTTTAGTGAGCTATATAATTTCTGGGCTTTTCTAATTATTACTTATTTATGTTATTCTTTCACATCTTGTATCATTTTCTTAATGTCTTTTAGCTCACTTTTAAAATAGTAGATTATGTCTTCCTGACATGCCTTCTTTTTCTGTAGAGATATTATTCTGCTTCTTACTCTTCTTTTTCTTGTAACTTTGAATGGAATTTTACCTTGATTGTTTTTGTCCTCATTTTTATGTGAAACTATTTTTTTTTCTGAATTTTAGAAGATGGCAGGATTTTCTAATTTCACAGAAATCCGTCTTCAAAACTATGGTGTCTTGGTCTTGACATGTCCTGACTTTGTTATCCTCCTCCATTTTTAGTCAGTACTTCTCTTTCCTTCCTCTATATTTTTCTGACCCAGTTTAATTTTATTCTATTCTCAATAGCTTCTCCTCAGTGTGGCTGGATAGTTTCTAGAGTTCTGAAGTGCTAGAACTGCTCCAACCATCTCAGAAGGTCTCTTACACTCGCTTTTTGTTAGAAAACAAAACCCCTCCCAATTTCAGCTGCTGTTCTCAAATTGGCCTGTCTACTTCTCTGTGAGTACCTGTTGGTCCTTTTGAGGTTTTCTTGTTCTTAGTTCTGCCAGACACCGCATTATTTCCATCTGCTTTCTTTGCTATAGACACTGATTCCATATGGGTCTTAAGGCTGCTGCTAGTTTGTCTCCCTCACTTTATTGAAAATGGTTCTTATGCATAGCTTGTCACTGAGTTCCACTGTAAATTCCACCCATGGGTTTTTGGCTTTGGTGTATGTGGAAACTTGAAGAGATTCAAAAGCTATGCTGTTGCCAAGAGTGCTACCTTCCAACACTTTTCATTTTCTGATTAAACACTTTCTAAATCCCTCAGATGTGGAGGAGACCACAGATGGACAGTGTGCACATATTAAAGCAAATAAGAAAACACACATAAATAAAATACTACAGTGACTATAATCAAGGAGTTGAAATTCATCAGGTGAATCAGCAGCTTCTGACTTCACTAAGCAGTGAGGTAAAGTGGGCAACATTTCATAAAATATGTTTCAGAGGAAGTTAACAGAAACAAGGTAGTTCTTGTATCTCGGTGAATGCGATTTTAGAAATGGTGGGCTGAGACAAAGCACTCTGCACCTCTTCCTTCAAAATGATACAAAACGGGCAAATGGTAAAAGATTTCTTTAAAGTTATTATGGAAGAAATAAGAAAATCTGGGGAGAAAAATCTCGGTTTCTACATTTAACTTAGCAAATAAGAAATACAATTTTAGAAAGAATAAAATGTCTACTTACCATATACCAAGTGATGGTTGGTTTGACACTGGAAGGAAAGTATCCATCTACATTTGGACAAGTGACCTTCTGAATACCATATTCTATATACAGTCTATGTACTGGGAGTTTCATGGGGGAATTGAAACAGCTGTCTTTTTGAACAACTTCCAGGGGAAATGCAACTTTGCTGCAATATGTGGTGTTCCTGAAAAGAGAAATATGCAGTAAATCAGTAGTCTCATTTGCATTTGATTTAATACAACAACCACATTAAAATGAAATAAATGAAGCCATGCTATGTATAGGGACTTCGTTTATTCATGTAAAGTCATATAAGACCTAAATGGGTTATGGAAGTATTTCCTATATCAATTGATATCATAGAAAAAAAAAACAGATACAGTTTACTATTAATGCACTAAAATACGTATACTTTTAAATATAATCCTAAAAGTGTGTGTGTGTATGAATTTTACACTTAAAAAATTCTCAGTATTTATTATTCAGTGTTGGTACAGCAAAGGCAAGAATTAAATACTTATGATTAGGTAATAATGGTATAAACAATCTTTGGAAAAGAAATATATTTCCAGAATCATTAAAATAAAAACCATAGCTTTTACTCTAGTAATCCTATATCTGAAAATTTTTTCACATGATAGAAGTATGGAAAAGGGAGAATAGAAAAACAGCATCTAATCAAAAATGTTCATCTAGTATCACCTCAGCAGAGAAAACATTGAAACCAATAGAAAAATCTAACAACAACAAAAATTATAAAGAACACTATGGTACAACCATTCAATGGTGCTGTCAGAACCTATAAAAATAATCAAGCATGAAGGGCAAAAACAAATAAACACATAAAAGTTCTTAGGATGACTGGAGAATTGTATTTGTGTTGAGTGTACTGGCTGTTCCATCTGCCTGGAGGGCTCTTCTTCCCCCACCAACCATCGTTCACATGGAGGTCTTCTCTGTCATTTTCTACCCACCCCATACCTGAATTAGGACTCCCATTCATTAAGCGCCTTGGACATTTTCCTGATTAAATTTATCATAGCTCAAAATTATATCATTTTATTACAGATATCTGTATCCTGTGTAAAATGTAAGTACCACATTACCATATGTATTTTTTAATCATATTCCTTGCATCTAGTACGGTGTTTTACTAGGGGTTTAATAAATACTTGTTAAATGAATGGAATGAATATGAATATGAAACTTGTGTCTACATACAAGAAAACAAGAAAGGAAACACAGAAAAATAAAAGTAACTTATTTTTTAGGGTAATGGGATAATAAGTCATTCACCCTCCACACATTTTTGTCATTTCTATCTACCAAACACATAGTAGACACTCAATGACTCTTGAATTAAGACTAAATACAATGGAACAGTTGGGGTATGCATTCCCAAAGATGGGGAGCAGAGTTTTTACAGATGACCTGTAACAGTACTAGAAGGGTGGCGAGGGTGAGGGGGGGGCATCTCTTCCTACAAATGGCAAAAGATCTACCACATGGGAGAAGAATTCTATAGGTGATAAATTCCAGTTAATATAAAGAAATATTTTCTGGTTTTAATAGAAGTGAAAAACAGTGTTTCAGCTGACTTTTCCAGCTCCCAAAGTTGAACCATATTCTAGCAAGAATATAAACAGTAAAATACTAGGAGATGAATCCAACTTTATGGCCTTAGAGATATCCAGGCCCATGATTCCACATGGTTCACATTAAGGCCATTCTCAGTTTAGGAATCACCTCAGGGCAATGGGAAGCTTTGTATTGCTCCTACCAGACAATTTCCATTCTAGGTTTGCTTTAGAGACAGGCAGACAGGAAAACAGAAGAGATGACAATCTGGAAATTGATAAATGACATGAAAGGTATATGCAGGCATTAACAGCCATGCAATCCTACTCCTGTAATATAAAAGAAGGTTAGAAAAGTTTAGGGAAGAGTTCTAGGCAAGTAGTGGGTAGCTAAGGAAAACATAACACAGATACAGAAGCACTAGAATGCACAGTAGAGACCAACGTCATCCAGAAATCCACCGATGACTCCTTCCCAGGTATTTGCTGATGTTTACTTGTGAAATGTTAATGGATTAACAATTGTCAAAGATGAAAAGGAACTCAAAGAGCATGTAGGCCAATTCTCTCATTGTGCAAATATAAATACCAAAGCTCTCAGATGTGGACACGACTTGCCTAAGGCCACTAGCTGACTAGTGGCAGAACTGGAATAATGGCCTAGTTTTTCTGTATTCTCATCCAGTATTCTTTCTACTGTAATCTGTTTTAGCTTTTAGCCAGTTGTATTAGGACATAAATAATGAACACATGAGTATTCTAGGTTCCTTGGAAGGCTGCAAACCAGTCTAGAGTCAACGCCGACTCCAATAAAATTAAAGTGGCAGGTAAAAGCCTCAAAAGGGTGTTCAAAGGCTACAGGGAAACCCCCACTCCCCACCCTCAAGGACACAGTGCCAAAGTCTTTTCTGTGATAGAGAAGAGGTCCTTTTTTATATTCATTTATCAAATCATAATCATAGTTGTCCATCAGGAAACAGTTAACATCCATGAGAGAAAAAGATTCTGGGATTACTTATTGTTATGGGCTGAATTATATCCTCCCAAGTTCACATGTTGAAGTCCTAACCCACAGTACTCCAGAATGCAATTGTATTTGGAAATAAACATAAAAACATTTTAAGATGTAATTCACATAAAACGAGATCATAAGGGTGGGCCCTAATCCAATGTGACTAGCATCCTCATAAAAAAAAGAGATTAGGACACAGACACACACACAGAGGAAAGACCATGTGAAAATATGGAGGAAAGATGTCCATATATAAGCAAGGGCACAGGCACTGGGAATGAAATCAACCCTGTCAACGCCTTTATCTTGGACTTACAGCCTCCAGAAATGTGAAAAAATAAATTTCTGTTGTTTAAGCCACCCGGTCGGTGGTATTTTGTTATTTCAGCCTTAGCAAACCAACATACTTATTAAATAATAGGAAATTATGTCTTTTTAAAAAAACCAATATAATCCAGATGGAATTTAAAACACGAAGTAAAGTCTGGCAGCTAAAAAGTGACTAGAGAAAAAGTAACCAAGGAATCAAGCCTTAAAATGGTTATTCTTTGGAGAGGCCTGTTTTCTTTGTAGATTTTTTTATAAGCAAAAACAACATTAATCTGTAGCAAAAGAAAGCAGGCATATTGTGGAGTAATATGTAAAACCTACATGAACTTTCAAGAAGAAAAACGTGTATTTAAAAGAAATTTTGTAATAATGATGGGTTGCTTTGGATTTTATTCTTAGGTTCCCAAGGATATGGTGTTCTTAGGGGAATTTTGGTAGAAAAGTTTGAAAAGCATTGTTCTTTAAATACATTTCAAATATCCTTTCTTCTATTAGACATCCTACGTCTTCTCTACTCTGTGCCAGGCACTTTGGAAGATGCCAAGAATAACAGCTATGACCAGGCTCTATCCTCTGCCCCGTCCATTGTCTAGGGAAAGGGAGGCTTCCAGGTGAGGAACAGATGTAGGTAGGTCTCGATGTCATAGGAAAGGGGCAAATAAATAAATAAGGCTCCACTTTTAGACAACTCTGACATGTGTCAGGGTCTGAAAAGGAACAACCTATGGAGAATGTTTTCAGGGGCACAACCATTTTCTCTGCACATTTGCTTCAGCTAAGGCCCTGAGGTGAAGGACAACTCGACCCAAATGCTTCCTTCCCCTACCCAGTTTCATAGCACATGCATCATCAGGAAAAAAGCCTAGAAATTAAAAGGAAAAAAGAAAGTCACTGCTGAGTCAGACTACCTTAACATGCAGGTATAGTTGCCTGTGTCGTTGAGGAGAGTGGGCCGGAACCAGAGCACATCTTTCTCCTTACTGATACGGTTCTCAGGGAGGCGGAAGTTAATTGGCTCCTCAAGGTCCCGGTCCTGCCTAGTCCAATACCAGATTAGAGTGAGGCCAGCTGAATGGGCCATGCTGTAGTTATATTTCAAGAAGTGTTCAAAGAGTGGGCACTTGATGCGAGCTGGCTCATCTTCAAACACTTGGATTTGCCTCATGGTATCTAGTCCCCAGTCATCACAGCGTTCTGGAATAATCAAAAAGAAAGGAATGGCAGATGAGTCACTTCATAATAAAGGTCTCCAGAAAACACAGCTTTCTCCTCAGGATACCCAGTCTATTCCAGAAACCCATTTCTCTGGTCATCTGAGTATCTCTTGGATAATAATTTGATGTGAAAGCTTAATCCTGTTGAACGCTACAAATTATGCAGTAAGGTATCACCTGAAAAAGAAGTCATGTGCTTTTTCACTTCGTGGGGACAGAGAAGGATCTAAGGAGGAAATTGTAATTGAACAGAAAACCCTTGGCTAGATGGGAGAGAGGGTTCCCACTTCTCCTGGGTCTTCTGATTTTTGGCTAGACCGTCACTGTCCAATAGAAACATAATGCAAGCCACATATACAATTTTAGAAATTCCATTTCAGGGGCCGGCCTGGTGGCGCACTCAGTAGAGGGCGGCACTTGGGAGCGCAGCGGCGTTCCCGCCGAGGGTTCGGATCCCATATAGAGACCGATCCACTCACTGGTTGAGCGTGGTGCGGGCGCAATACCGAGGGTTGCAATCCCGTTACCGGTCACAAAAAAAGACAAAAAAGAAAGAAAGAAATTCCATTTCAGTTGCCACAGTAAAAAGTAAAAAGAAGCAAGTGAAATTAATTTCAACAATATTTTGGCAATATATCCAAAATACCAGAAACAAATATTAATGAAGTATTTTACATTTATTCTTTTTTTTGCTGCAAGTCTTCAAAATTCTATGTATTTTTCATTTGCAGTACATCTCAAGCTGGGCTAACCATGTGTCTCTGCTGGCTACTGTATTGCACAGCATGACTATAGATCTCAAAAAGTCTAGAGGTCTCAGTGATAGTCATTGAGGAGAAAAATGTGGGTTTCGATGACTAAGAGTCAAATAAAATTTTTAATGTTTTCTACAATTTATTTTTTATAATGTAAAATCACTTATGTAATCAGAAAAAAAAAGTGATAATTGCTTATTTTCTTAAGAGTGCTATCTGAATGCAGGGCTCTAGATGCCACACTAAGGCAAAGAGAGGTCAGGAGTGATGGAATCCTGTAAGCCCCAAAACAATGATCTTAAAACAGTTTTCTTTATTGCTTGCAACTCTAACATACCTACACATATGTATACGTATGTATATTTTCAACTACATAATCTTCCCTGTATTTCAGTTGACATATAAAACTTTTCAAGCTACGTGTAATAATTGTCAAATTGTAAGTATTGGCATTTTAAGATAAAATGGTTACATCACTCCTTTAATTACATCTAATGGTGATTTGCCATACACAATTATCCAATTTAAAAATATGTAAACACTTTTTTTTAACCATTATAAATTCCATATTGTTCCTTTTTCTTCTTGAACTTGTATTAACTCCACTATCTCCACATATCATTTTACTTTAATAGAATGTATTCTTAAGTTTGATAGTTTTTTAAATGTTGCTTCATTTTATTCTTCTGTGCACTATATTTAGCTCTAAGTGTTAAAACGTTTTTTTAAATGAGTTTTATTATGAATATTATAGTATGTACAATTTAAATAATACAAATTTTTAATTTTATGAGCAATTATTAAGTACAAAATGCAAAATTTTTATTGGAAATCATATCTTAATAATGTGGATGGGCTATTTTTGATTGAGAACTATTTTCATTAGTTTAAATGAAATCTTTTTTTAAAATAAAATATCTATTTTATCACATTCTTTAAATATATTTTCGTTAACACTGCAAAGCTGCAGAATTTGCTCATTCAGTTTATAGAAAATTGCAACCATAATTTTCAGACTTAATATATGAAACGAATTTCACTCCTTTCTGAACTCCACTAGAACTAAAATAATTTTTCAAGACATAATCCCAAGTAAGAGCAAGAACAGGAGAAAAGACAATAGCAACATCAGAATGGACAAGTGGTAATCACCTTAGCAGATTTAAAAAGACAAATCCAGAACCAGCAGAGAAAAGTTGAAGAACTAACCAATCTGCAATTCACAATGTTGAAAAGACAAGACTATCTGCACCTAGGTAAGGTGTCATTAACGCTGTTCACCTAATATTTTTGGGTTCTCCTCCTAGTGTAAGATTGCTCTTTTCTGCACCTCCAAACTAAGGAAAGGCAATATGACTTACTTTGGCCAACAAGATGTAGTAAGTGTCACTTGTGATGGATGTGTTAAGGACTAGGGCATATTTTATCAAGTTCCCTTTTCTTCTGCCTTGGCAAATGTAACAGCAAAGAGATTGACACTCCCTTAGCTTGGGTCCCTCATTGCGGATGGCATACAGCACGGCTTTGTTATTTTAAGTCATAACATAGGTCATTGGGATTTGCTTGTTACCAATACTAATAGTCTATTCTATTCTGGCAAATGCAATTGAGTACCTCAAAACAGATACTATGGGAAGAGTGGTAAAATAAAGAGAATCAGATGAAAGCTATATCAAAAAGTTACATCCTTTGCTCCAATCCCACTCTCTCAGTACTGAACGACTGTCCTCCAAGGATGAATCTCCAAGGATGAGGGCAGCCAGACTTTTACCTTCCAGGCAGGAGAATGAAAGAGTCTTCTGTGGGAAATTCTATCCACTTAAGAAAAAAAACCTAGCAATCTTAATATCAGACCTTCTTTAACAAATTGTGCAGCCGCGTAACAAGTTTCACACTTGTGTTTAGAATTTTCAATCAGCTTCTTAATCACTTCTTAAATATGAACAGATAAACCAAAAAGACATCTGAGAAAAATCTCTACCACAGAATGTGATGTCCAAAGAAACAAAGTAAAAGAATCTTATAAAACATCAAGATTATTCAGAAAATAAAACATTTAAAAATACTATCATTATCATGCTCAGAGAGATAAAGAACCTATTGTACCCACGAAGTAGGAACAGGATGCTATAACAAAAGAACACTAAGAGAGAAAAAAAAAGTGCATTGAAATTAAAACATGATTGTAGAAAGTAAAGTCTTAATAGATATTTTGTATGGAAGTTGAAGACGATTTACTAAAAAGGAGAGTAAAAAGAAAAAGAAACAGAAAATAGACAAGAGAATTAGATCAGTTCAGGAATATCAACATCTCAATAGTAGAAGCCCCCACTCCCCATCACAAAAAAAAAAAAATGTAAAGAAGAAAACTCTCAATTAAATAATTCAAAGAAAAAAAAATCCCCAAACTAAAGTATACAACCCTCTAAATTAAAAAGACCTGTCAATTGCCCCAGTATAATGGATGAAAAACAGATTTACACTACAGAAATATTTTGGAAAAAAATGTAGAAAAAAGAGAAGATTCTATAAACTACCAGGGAGTAAAAAAGGAATAAAAATGGTCACTTACAAAATATCAGGAATGAGAATGGCTTTAGAACTCTCAAAAACAAGACTGGAAACTAAAAATAATGAAGCAATGCATCTGAAGGAAAGTTACTTACAATCTTGATTAAACCTAACGAAACAATCAAGTGTGAAGTGACATTTTCAGACACGTGAAGCCTCAGTAATTTTATTTCCCAAGTGCTCGTGATCAGGAAGCTTCTGTGGAATTTGTGCCATGAAAATGAGAAAAAACAAGAAAATGAGAAAAACAAACATAGGATCCAAGAATACAGGATCCAATTCAAGAGAGAGAAGACATCCCAAGAATGACAGTGAAAAAGATCCCAGGATAACAGCTCTGCAGCAGGACTTGGTGATGAACCAGTATAGATAAGAGGAAATGAAAATCTCCAATAAGCAAAATTAATTGTACCTGGTAGATTACATAACATTAGCAGTGTGGAAAATTATGCTGAAAGGCAACTGCAAATTACAAAAATGGTTACCAAAAGACACCCATTAAAGTAAGTATCTGAAAAACAATACAAATAGTAACTTCAAAAAATAAGAAAGGTCACATATTATAGTTTAAAATGTGAAGATATATTAATTAAATGATTATTTATTCAACCAAGTATGTATTAGTATTATACAAAGAAGAATGGGTACGAATAACAGTTAAAGAGATAATCCTCATTTACTATAATAAAAAAAGTGAAAAGTTAATGCATAGGGTTAACCAAATGAAAAATAACAATATACACAAACTGGTTAGCAAGATATGGATGAAAAATGCCAGAAGAAATAAATAAAATACTCAAAAGCAGTTGTCTCTGAGGAAGATAGCTAGTGGGAATGAGGAAAGTTAAGTCAGAAAATATATAAGTATTTTGCTATAAGTCTTTTAATATATTCACCTTAACTCTATGTGTATAGTTCACTTTGTAAATAGTTATAATAATAATTAGTAAAAAAGAAAGGAAAGAAGGAAGAAAATAACCACCATGTAATACAATTGGCAAAGCCATTCTCAGTGTCAAACCATCCTAACAGTAGCAACTTTCATAGAAAACGTCTTGATTTTATTTTTTAATTCCAAAATTTGTGTTGATAAGTGTTAGCAATGACAGTCATTTCACTTTTTGATTATAAAGCATATAAAAGAAATAGATACACAGAGATGGACAGCAGACGGAGTCTGGAACTTCACCAAATTAAGTTTGCTGCCTGGATCAAATAAAGCGTCACTGCCTTCTGTATTTCCTAAAGACATGTGTTATGCTGTTCTCAAAGTCATCTCCCTCAACACTCCATACTTTTTGGCCAAAATTTTGGATGATGGTAGAAGAAAGAATTTTAAATAAAAATTAGCAACCTTTCTGCAACCCTACCCTGCAGTATATCTCAATTCAGATCACACCAACTTGGGCTACAGATCACAGTTCTGACATCATGATTCACTCTTAATGAGAACGTTGGTAAATTGGAGAGAAAAGGGAAGCCCTGCTTGGAGTTAATGGTGTCTTTACTAAAGGAAACTTTTGACACCAATATTACAAAGTGTCACTTCAGCTCCTGGAGGTTCTTACTGCCATGGGCAATGATTAATAGTAAGACAGAGGATGAGTGACATATATTTTTCTTTTGTAAAGATTGTGAGAGGAGAGATGGGAAA